TCTCTGGTCTCTACTTTCTCATCTGTAGATTTGCATAGTATCTGCCCTCCATGGTGTTGGTGGAAGTAAACTGCACAGGGCAGTGAGCATATGGGAGCTTAGTAAAATCGCTGAGCCTGGTCAAGAGGTGTCAGGACTGCAGGCAACACTGGGGTCCTGCTCTAAGTCAGTGTGGTCAGCCAGGGTCCCTCAGGGAACTGTATGCAGGAAAGACCCATAAGACTACCTCAAGAGGAGGTGGAGACCCAGAGAGGGGCACCACTTGCTAGACATCACACAGCTACCTGTCTGCAAACGGGGAAGAATTCTGATGCCTATAAAGGCTCAGGACTGAATCTTTTTTCTAAAAAATATTTTATTTATTATTTTTACTTATGTATCTGAGTGTATTGTGTGCATGTAGGTAGGTGCACTCTTGTCTTGCAATGCCTGTGGAGGTCAGAAGAGGGGATTGAATCCCCTGGAACTGGACTTACAGAGGGTTGTTAGCCACCATGTGGGTGCTGGGAATCCAACCTGGGTCCTCTGCAAGAACAGATAGTGCTTTTAACCACTGAGCCATCTCTCCAGGGTAGAATCCAGAACCAAAGCAACCCCAAGCTAAGCACCTCTGCCAGAGATCACTCTCTGAATTGTTTCCTCCCCTCTGTGAAGAGAAAGTTGGACATGCCAGTCTCCAAGGCCGCCTCAACTGTGATGTGCCAGGACCTACTTTACGTCTGCTAGGGATGAGGTACGCAAGTGGCACCAGCTGTCCAACCCCTCTTGCCAGCCATGGGGAGCGGGGCTGGTAAGCGATGCTTGGTTAGTCTGGGCTCTACCCAGAGACCTGTGAGAAGGAGGGAAGCCTCTCTCTGCATAGGTTAACTGAGGATCTGATGAGTGCTGAGTACTGGGTACTGTGCCTGATACAGAACCTTGGCAGCAAAGTCTGGCCCCTCACAAGTCAGTTGTCTTTTCTGGGCCTTGTCTCCTTGCTTGTAGAGTAGTCAGTGTGTAAAATACAAGTGGCTTAGATCAAGTCAGAGTTGAATATGGTTGGCTAGGCACAGACATCATTAACCAGTCAAAACCCTTCTTTCCAGTGAGATGAGATCCTGCATTTTACAAAACCTCGGTTTCCACTGAGCCTGAACATGTCCTCAGAATCTTTTTCAACACAGCTAGCACTCCCAGCACAAGCCCAAGAGATAGGACCATGGCTACACTGAGGCTGGCTTCTGAGCACTTGGTCCTGGGAAGGCTGGGATCTGCCCTTTCTCCTCCATGCCCCTGTCCTAGCCTGATGCCTCAGTGGCATCCTGGAAGTCAGTAGAGAACACATTTGCCCAGGAATGTCCTCACTCAGCAGTCAGCCAGGTGCAGAGGGGATTTTCCCATCACCTCAGTTTTTAGCTTCCAGCCACCGGCCTGGGGTTCTGGGACACAAGGCAAGGGGGCTGGGTTCTCCACTGCTACCAGTCTGCCTGACCCTGGAACCCCACCCTCTGGGCTTCTCTACTTCCTGGGGAAGCCAGCTGAGCCTACAGCAGGTCTGAGGTTCCTAGTATTCCTTGGAGGCCCAGGTGTGAGCTCACTCTTGGGGATATGACAGCTGCTCAGCCAGGAACCATGTCTCTTGTGTCCCTGTCCCTGGCCTCTGGGTGCACTCCCAGAGACATCCTGCAGACGGCCCACCCACTGGCATGGGCTCCTCTCTGGCTGCTGAGCCATGTGCTTGCTTGGTGAGGACAGAGGGAAAAAATGTGTTTGCCTGGGTCTTGGCAGTAAGCAAGGGGCGCCTCCTCCCTGCTGGGGAGACCAAGTCTGAGAGAACTGAGCAGTGCAAGGAAGCACCGGCCTGGGCTCCCAGCCCAATTCTGCTACCCAGACTCTCACTATATGACTTAGGTGTGTCACACCCTTTCTCTGGGCTTAGATTTCTCAACATGCCCACCTGAGCCTAAGGTGCTGCCCAGCAACGACAATGTCTGAATTTAGAGTGTCCGATTCTGGCCCAGCATTGAGTTCTAAGACCATCAGCAGAGTGGAGGCCCTGGAGGAAAGGAAAGGAAATCAGCAAGGGCTTCCTGGAGGCAGGGGCATTAAAATATCAGCAGCTACAGCCCTGGCCTTCATTCTCCACCTGCACAGCCAAGAGCCACTTCCTCTTCCAACCAGAACAAGACCACAGCTGCCGCTCCAATGGCCTTGTTCCTCTTCTGATCTTGCCTTCCTATACCTCCAATCATGTCAGAGGGTTCACTAGGACACAAACCTACAAACTTGACCATGTTTGGCATGTTTTGAAACTCTGTGCTAGCTGACTACTGCTGGCACACACACCATAATCCCAGTACTCAGGAGGCAGAGGCAGGAGGAACAGGAGTTCAAAGCCACCTGGGGCTACATGAGACCCTGTCTCAAAAAGACAAAGATTGCTGGGTGTGGTGGCCCACACCTTTAATCCCAGCACTCGGGAGGCAGAGGCAGGCGGATCTCTGTGAGTTCAAGGTCAGCCTGGTCTACATAGTGAGTTCCAGGACAGCTGGGGCTACAGGGAGACCCTGTCTCAAAAAGACCGAAAAAAAAAAAAAAAAAAAAAAAAACCACAAAAATCAAAACAAACAAACCAAAAGACCCTTCACCTAGGGCTGCCTCAGGCCTCTGCCAAGTTCCCTCCATTCTCTGAGGATTTCCTGCTGACAAATGACAACTGAATTTCCTGATGACTGTTTATCAAGAGACAGTATAGTATAGGTGTATGTGTGGAGGGGAAGTCACCTGCACCTTGAAGAACCTGTTCCTTGGGGAGACTCCTTCAAGACTTCTATAACCCATAGGCTCTTGGCCCTCTATCTCTACATCACAGGGCTAGCTCTTCAAGGACATGGACCCAGCACTCACTTCTTCACTCATCAAACATCCAAGAAGCACCTACTATGTGCCAGGCTCTGTATTGAGCCCTGAAGGCCCTAAAAAGAATCATCTCTTGCCCTCAGTGTTTCACAGTCAACATTCCATCAGACTCTATTCCCTAGTCACCTCCCATGGAAGCCTTCCTTGATTGCCCTAATTTGGAGCTGTATTATTACTTTAAGCCAGAGTGACTTCCCTGAGACTCACCACCTGTCTGAGCTGTGGCTTTGCATTTAGTTCTGTGACTCTTTCTTCCACTTCAGTTCCCCAGAAGGCAGCCACTGGGTCTGCTCTGTTCATCTCACCCCCAGCATCTGGTCCATTGGCCATGAAAGGCTAAAACATCAGCAAAGGCTCTGCTTCCTGGTCCACTGAGATGTGAGCCAGCATCCTCACACTCCCACTGCCACAGACAAACTGGTCCCACCTCTGTGCCTGCCTTCCATAGTGGAAGGCATGTATATTACCTCAGACCACAAGCCAAAATAAATCCTTCCTCCCTTAAAAAATAAACAATGGGGCTGGAGAGATGGCTCAGCTGTTAAGAGCACTGACTGCTCTTGCAGAGGATCCAGGTTTGATTCCCAGCACCCACATGGCAGCTAACAACTGTCCCTAACTTCAGTTCCAGAGGATCTGATGCCCTTTTCTGACCTCTGTGGGCATTGGGTAACATGGATGCACTTACACACATGCAGGCAATATACTCATACACATAAAATTAATAAAAATATAAAAAATAAAAACAAACAAATAAGTGCATTATTGAGGGATCCTAGTGGATCCCTGGAGATTCAAAGGGAGACTGAACTTTTTTTTTTGAGACAGGGTCTCTCCGTAGTGGGTCTGGCCTGGAACTCACTATGTCGACCAGGCTGACATCAAATTCACAGAGATACTACTGCCTTTTTTGCCTCCCGAGTCCTGGGATTAAAGGTGTGTGCCACCACTCCCGGCAGACTGAACTTTTCAATGTTCAGTTTCTTGCAGTTGCTGAGCCCATGAGCCACTTCCCCTCACCTCTGACCCCAAACCTATTGGGGGATGTTTCCTGATCAGCTTTAAGGATGGGTCCCTCTGATTCCTGTAGTCCTGGCTGCAAACCTCTCTCCCTGCCCCCAACTCTTCATCACACACACACACACACACACACACACACACACACACACACACACACACACACACACACACCCCCCCAGCTCCAGGCTCCAGAGTTGCTCTGCTTTCCCACAGTTCCCCTGGAAAACCACAAGCTCTGTGTAGCAGCTGCTAGAGGTTCCTGTCCAGGCCTCCTGCCTGGGACACTGCCTGCCCCCTGCCCAGCAGTGGCAGCAGAGCTCACTGGCCTCAAAGTTAAGAGGTCATTGGTACCTCCCCTTAACAAGCTCAGATGCCCCCTCCTTAGATTCCAGAGCCCTCTGGACAAGCAGTGCCAGCCCATTCTTCAGGCTGCTGGGCTAAGCAGGTGTTTTCCACAAGCTCTTGGGTGGGTGGGGTGAGGTCTGCCTGGCCCTCACACTTAACCTGTCTTCCAGAGAGACCAGATTTCCCACAGCCTGCTGCTGATCTTGCTGGCCCAGGGTGGATGCCAGGTCTGCCAGCTGGCCCAGTCCTTAACTAGCCCTGGAGTCCAGCAGTTCACATAAAGGCCCAGTCTAACGAGTCCCACCTGAGAACTGGACGTACAGGAGAGTGGTGACCAGCCCCACCCCATCCTCCGGAACCAAGCAGGTACAGCCTTAGAAACCCAGACCAGTCACAGGAGCCACCAGACTACGTGGTAGCCTGCCGGTGGGCGGGGGACACTCTCTCTGTTTTTCCTGAGACTGAAGGGATGGGAAAGTCCTGGGATGCACGAGACCCAGGAGTCTACTGTGGCCATGGAGCCCGAAAACCAGGGCCAGGAAAGGACCTCAACGAGGGGTCAGGCTAGGCTGGCTCACCTCTGCTTCGAGGCTGCAAGCACTGGCTCTGGGCTAGGGACAAACACTCAGATCACATGCCTCGGACTATGGGAAACTCTGGGGACAACAGGGGCCTGCCAGTCCAGGCGGGTGGGAAGGGGACGGAAGGGGGTGAGGGGAGAAAAAAAATTTCCAGACCTGGTGTGACCACCGACTGGACCGCTTCCCTCACTCGCGTGCTAATTCCGCATTTACTCCTGTAGACACCTGGGGCGCAGTCACTCCAAGGTGCACACGACTGGCTAGTGTCCGGCTCCAAGGAGCGCGCGGCCACACACACACACACACACACACACACACACACACACACCGGGGTACACCGTGCGCACGCACCCGGCAGGATACCCGGGGCTCTCGCCAGGGAACACACACGCACGCACGCCGCCCATGGACGTAAACAAACCGCGCACACACGGTACCCGGGCACCACTCCAGGGACTGTTCCCACAGAGTCACGTACTTTCATGCCCCGCCTCTGCCCGCCCCCGCTCGCGCCTCGCTTCCTCCCCGCCCCGCGCGAGGGGCGCGTCCCCACCCCACCAGTCCCTCCGCCGGACCCCCGGCTGGGTCCCCCGCCCCGGGCGCTCTGCGGTCCCGGGCGCCGCGGTCCGGGTGATGGGCAGATGCGCCGGAGCACCGACGGCGCGGCCCGACGCCCGAGCCAGGCACGACCCGGGGTCCCGCGCACCGTCCGGTCCCCGCCGCGTCCCTCACCCGCTAGGCCCGGCGCTCCTGGCGCGTCTCGCTGCTGTCCCCGCTGCCGTCCGCGCGGCGGTCCCAGGACACTCCCGGGTCGGTCTTCTCTCTGATCCGGACACTCGGAACCGGACTCCGGACGGCGCGGGTCTGAGTTTTGTTATGGGGCAGGCGGCACAGGGGGCCGGGGCCGCGCGGAGTTGTAAGGCGAGCTTCCCGGAATTACTCACAGGATTCCTTTCATTCATAAAAACCCAGTCATGCAGTGACGTCACCGCCCCGGCGGTTCGCCGGCCCAGAAGCGGCCAGGGAGCCCAGGCCCCGCCTACACCCCGCCCCGAGTCACGCCCCCAAGAGGCCCCGCCCCGGGGCCACCGCCGGGCGCCGGGGTTTTCAGTGACTGTGCCCTTTGGATGCGTTCACGTGACACCCCCAGAAGCGCGTGGGTGGAGGTGTCAATTGCTTCGTTTTACAGTCCACCGTCCGGGTCTCTTCTGTCTTCGGCCTACACCTTTTGCCTGGGTGATCTCATCCAGTCTCGTGGTTTTAAATGCCATCTGTGCTCCTATGAGCCCCAGGTTTGTATTCAAAGAGATAGCTTTTGCCTTCCAGACTTCCAGCTAACTGCCCACCCTGGGCTTCCACATGGGTGTCAGATGGGGACGACCGAAAACACACTCGGCCAAAATCCAGCTCCTGGTCCTCAGCCTACCTCCACTCCCCACAGTGGCACCCGGCTCAGTGGTTGAACGCTTTTCCAGCATTAAAAAAAAAATTTTATTTATTATTTTTATTTTAGGTGTATGCGTGTATTGCCTGCATGTAGGTAAGTGCACCCGTGTCGTGCAATGCCGTGGAGGTCAGAAGAGGGTTTCAGATTCTCCTGGAACTGGAGTTAAGGACGGTTCGTAGCCACCATGTGGGTGCTGGGAATCGAACCCACATGGGTAATCAGTGCTCCTAACCACTGAACCATCTCTCCAGCCCCATCATTCCTTTTTTAAAAAAATGTTTGTGTGTGTGTGAGTGTGTGTTTTCAGAGGACAGCTTCCACCATGTAGGTAAGGTGCTTGCCAGTGTGACAAACCCAGTTCAACTGTGGGAGAACTTACATGGTAGGAAGAACTGACGACTGAAAGTTGTCCTCTGACCTCCACACACTCCACATGGTATATGTGCTCTCACACACATACACACATACAATAAATGAATGTAAATGTAAAATGTAAGGTGAATATAATAAATTTTAAAAGAATTTTTTAAAAGTTACCTCTGATGGACCAATGAGCTCAACTCTAGAAACTACAGAGTCATGAGCTATGTATTCGCTCCACGCCCAAGGCTAGGGGCTGGAGAGATGGCTCAGCAGCTAAGAGCATTGAATGCTCTAGCAGAGGACCCAGGTTCAATTCCCAGCACCCACATGACGGCTAACAACTCTACCTCCAGTAACAGGGGATCCACTAGACCCTTTGTCCCCATCCTCATCCTGGCAGAACAAGGGTGAAGTCACCCTTCTCTGTTCACCCTATTGACACTGCTGCCCACAGAAGTAGATCTCTTTCTGGTCACAGTCAGGAGATATTGAGCAATGTGGCATCAAAAGTGGGCTTGGGGGCTCAGTAGCTAAGAGCACTGGCTGCTCTTGCAGAGGACTTGTGTTGGCTCCCAGCACACACATTGGCAGTTCACAACCATCTGTATGTAGCTCCAGCAGATCTGATACCCCTCTTCTGGTCTCAGTGGGCACCAGGCTGGCATGTGGTGCACATATATACATGCAAGCAAAACACTCATACACATAAAATAATCTTAAAAAATTAAACTCATTTTAAATTTTATTTATTTATTTATATTTTATGTGTATGACCATTTGACCTGCATGGATGTAAGTGCACCTATGTCATGCAGTGCCCAGCTAAACTCATTTTTTTTTTAAAAGGAGGAAAGAAAAGCCAGATGTGGTAGCACATGCCTTTAATCCCAGCAATCAGGAGGCAGAGGCAGACGGATCTCTGTGAGTTCAAGGCCAGCCTGGTCTACATATTGAGTTCCAGGACAGCTGGGGCTACAGGGAGACCCTGTCTCGAAAAGACAAAAAAAAAAAAAAAAAAAAAAGAGGAAAAAAGAAAATGACCATCAGGCCACCCCCATTGTAATATATTTCAACAATGAGTATCAGCAAATATGTATGTTGACAAGAAGCAAGATATTCTTATAGTTTCAGACCAGCAGTATGGCTTGGCAGGTAAAGGCACTTGCTGCCCAAAGATGCAAGTCTGACCACCTGAGTTTGATCCCCAGAACCCAGGTAAAGGTGGAAGACACTTGGGGAAATGTCTTCTAGAACCCAGGTAAAGGTAGAAGAGAACCACTCCATGGAGTAGACTTCTAACTGCCAAATACCACACATACACACACACACACACACACACACACACACACACACACACACACGGCGGGGGGCAAATAATATAAATAAAAAATGAAAGAAAAGGAAAAGATATTTGGGGTTGGAGAGATGGCTCCATGGTTAAGAGTACATACTAGTTTTGCAGAGGATCTGAGCCTGTAACTCCAGCTCTAGGGGGATGGGACACCTCTGGCCCCTATCTCCAGCTGGCCCCTGCACTCACAGGGTTCACATACACACATACACACACATAAGTAAAAATAGAAACTAAACCTTTAAAAAATATTCACATAGTTTCAAGAAAATTTCCCACAACTGTTAACTATTATTTTAATAGTTTTTATCTTGTTTATTATTGTATATGTATGATATATGTGTTGCACATATCATGTGTGTGTGTGGCGGTCAGAAGGCCAACTTTCCAAACTTGGTTCTCTCCTTCCACTATGGGTTCCAGGGATCAGGTCATCAGGCTTGTGTAGCAAGTGCTTTTACCCGCCGAGCCATCTTGCCAGCCTTAACTAATTAATTATTAATTATGGAGGGAAAATAGTAACTCTACAGTGGAGAAACTTGGCAGACCCAACCTTCACTGAGTGATCAAAGTTAATACAACAGCAGTGTGGCAAACGGATCTGAGATTTATGAGAGAGCACATTAAACTATAGCAGACAGCACTGTAATTACAGAGGATAGTATTTCGATTTCCCTGTTTTGATGGTTCTTCTGTGGTGGTGGAGGAGAATCTCCTTAGAATTATTTAAGGGTCAGGGCTTGAGAGATGGCTTGGCGGTTAAGAGCACTGGCTGCTCTTGTAAAGGACCTGGGTTTGGTTCTCAGCACCTACATGGTGGCTAACAACCGTCTGTGACTCCAGTTTCAGGGGATCTGATGTCCTTTTCTGGCCTCTGTAGGCATTACATGCACATGGGACATTTACATGCATTCAGGGAAAACATACACATAAATAAAAATAAATATTTAAAAAATTATTTAGGCATAAAGGGATCTCATGTCTGAGATTTACTCTGAAGTTTTATAGAAACATAGAAACAAACGTAAATAGTGTTATGGGCTAAATTGCGTCACTAAAATGTGGATATTGAAGTCCCATCCCAACACCTCAAAATGTGACTATACTCAGAGGTAAGGCTTTCAAAGATGTATAAGTTAAAATAAGATCCTTTAAGTGAACCCTAACCTCATCTGATTGGGATCCTTAGAAGAAGTAGGAGTGTGGACACACAGAGAGAGGCCAGGGGTGCCCCACACAGAGAAAGATCTGGAAAGACACAGCAAGATGGGTTCTACCTGTAAGCTGAGGAACAAGACCTCAGGAGAAACCCATCCCACTGTGGTCTTGACCTCAGATTCCCAGTCTCCAGAGGTGTGAGAAAATGAGTTTCAGCTGTGGAGAAACCCATGCTGTGGCCTTTTGTCACAACAGTCCTAGAAAACAAATACAGACAGAAGCAGGGTGTTAAAAAGCCAAATGTGCTCAAATATCAACATCTGGGGACTCTGAGTAGCAACCATAAGGAAATTATTCTTGTAATTTCTTCTTCTTCTTTTTTTTTTTTTTGGTCTTTCTGAAACAAGGTCTCCCTGTAGACCAGGCTAGCCTTGAACTCACAGAGATCCGCCTGCCTCTGCCTTCCAAGTGCTGGATGTACTACCATGCCTGGCCTTGTAATTTTTCTTTAAATCTGAATTATATCATAATGAAAACTATTTAGTAGCCTGGTCTACCTAGTGAGTTCCAGATCAGCTGGGGCTACAGGGCTACAGGGAGACCCTAAAAAGAACAAAACAAAACAAAACAAAACAAAGAAAGAAAGAAAACCTGTGTTTAGAGACCATTAGGTAGGTAGTATGGAGTGGGTGGTCCTCAGCCAGACCTCCCAACTGCCCTCCCTCTGTTCTGCAAATGACTTAGTGGTAGTGTCTGTTCTCTGGGTTAGGAAAGTTTCATGCTCTCACACCCATAAGCCTTTGCACCATCACTATGTAATAGAAGATCAATAATATTGGGTGAGACACTGATGAGTCGTCCACAGTCACTCCCTCTGAGAAACCTATTTATCCCATGGTGAGTGACTTTAGTCACACCAAGCCGGGTGTGATCTCACCCTGCCAGGACACCTCACCTATCACCAACAGGGAGGTACCTTGTTGCCAGTTTCTAGAGAGGGACCCACCTTCTGCTTGCACAGTCCCACAGACTTGTTGCTGACCCAGTCAATCCCCCATTCACCTGCTGGACT